CACAGCAGTGAGTTTGGTTTTTGGTATGTGCCTTATCCTAAGGACAAGCTACACTTTATGTATCCATTCTACTGTGGACGTTGTGTTTTTCCTAGCACACACACCTACAGTGGGACACATAGCACTGACTTCTTTCTGGCACATACCTGAGACTGGAATGGTTGCCATGTAAAGTATATATATAATCACTTTCAAAGCAGTATAGGAAGACGGCTTTGAATGCAGTTTCAGTTTCTAATAGTACTATTTGTGTATGAGTTTTAATCACTCTATAGTTTCCTGATTACAGGCATACTGCGTTTTACTGCATTTCATTTCACTGGGCTTTGCGGATATTGCACTATTTCCAGATTGAAGGTTTGGGGCAACCTTGCATTGAGGAAGTCTCTTGGCATTATTTTTCCAGCAGCAAGCGTTCACTTGGTGTCTCTGTCGTTTTGGGAGTTCTCACAATATTTTAGACTTTTCCATGATGTTACTGCACACTCACAGAGTATAGAACAGGGTAAAGATAACTTTTATAGGCATCGGGAAACCAGAAATTCCATGTGACTCGCTTTATTGCAATATCCACTTTCTTGTGGTCTGGCTTTGAATCTGTAACATTCCTGAGCTATGCCTGTAAAGCATCTTCAGATCTGTACATTTCTACTGCTCTGGCGGGTATGGGATGTGATTTCATTGTGGTTTTACCATTTTCCTGTTTATGAAATAGGTTGAACATTTTATTTATTAGCCTTTGAGTTTCCTATTTTGTAAAGTGCCTCTTAGGGCTTGTTGCCCACCCATTTGCTGGTGGGCTTGCCCGGCTTTTCTTCATGCCTGACAGTTCTGTACTGGTTAGATGTGCAGCCAACATCTCCTCCCATGCCGCAGTCTGTCTTGTCACTCTAGGGCATCTTTTAAGAAGCAAACGAATCTTGATTTGAATGTGGTCAAATTTATATTTTCCTTTATAGCTTTGCATGATACCTAGACTGAATTCAGTTTTTATTGTGACGTACAGAGGTTAAAACCATCTGTCCCCTGGCATCCTTTCTACTCATCTCTCGATAGGGACTCCTGTCTCACTCGGCTCCACTCAGGAAGCCCCCTTGCTGTTCTGAGAGCATCTCAGATATGCTGCCCACTCGCCCTTTAATTTTCTGTGCTTTCTGCCTGGATTGCTTTTTCCAGAATCTTCTCATGACTCCCCTCCTCACTTCACGCCAGTCGTTGCTCAAATATCACCCCTTTGGATACACCTAATGAGTCCTGGGGGAGCTCTGGTAGCATAGTGGCTAAGTCACTTGCCTGCTAACCAGAAGGCTGACGGTTCAAACCCACCAGCCACTCCTCGGAAGGAAGGTTGGGCAATCCTACTTCCGTAGTGATACTGCCTCGGAAACCC